CCTATCACTTATTGTTATACTATGGGCCTGATTGTTTTATAGACCCGGAGTTTTGTTTTCCACTGTCCGTCTCGCGATTTGAATATGTGACCCATCGTGAAATAAGCTTTATTTGCCAGCACAAGCCTTCTATTTATTTCCGGTTCTTCTTCATTGCTTGCGACCAGATCCATTCCTAGGTATGTGAATCTATTCACATGTTCTATATCGTCAGTAAAGTATCGTTGCGCTGGTCTATTTGATCGGTTGAATATGAGTAGTTTTGTTTTGTTTGTATTTATTGCTAGCACTACTGCTTCTGCATTCTGTTTCAACTCAACGTAGGTTTCTTTCGCTGCGTTCATTGTTCTGCTCATTATATAATATCATCTGCGTATGCTGCTAATTGGGTAGATTTGTTTGTAAGTATGTTATTTCCACTCACCGTCAACTGTCTAATTACATATTCAGGAATACGATTAAAGAGCGTTGGAGCTAGTCCGTCGCTTTGTTTCAGTCCTTGCGTTATCGTACACGCATCAGTGATCTGTCCTTGAATACATACCTGTGCTTGTGTTTTTGTCATTGTCATCTGCACTAGTCGTTTTAATTTTGATGGTATGCCAAGTTCTACCAATATATTAGGTAGAATTGTTCTATCTATTGAATCATAGGCTTGTTTAAAATCTACAAAGAGATTGTAAACGTCCATGTCATATTCCATGCATCAATGCTCATTTGGATGCGCATTGAATCTCAAATACAAAGTGAATCCGGTTGTGATGTACTTGTTAGGTATTAAGACTCAATTCTGACCAAGTGCAGGTCTTTAAAATAAAACAAATCCATAGTCTTATAACTATATATATTAATCTCTCCTTATCATTTTTTCAAAATACACTTAACAAATTAATTATAAAATATCTAAAGTTATGATACAATAAATCTGGAACACACTTACGTATCACCCAGCTCTAATACTTTAAGGTCAATAAAAACCAATATAAAAATGTATCTACAGTTTCGAATCATGCATTGCTAATGTAGGAAATAAAACGTGAAATAATTAAAATTTAACCTTAGCATGCAAGCAACTTTATCAGATATAGAGTCGTAGAAAGGACTAATTTTTATTAAAACGTATCAGTCTTAATTGTGTAAAAACTGTGTCCTAAAATGGGGTTAGATCCCCCGGGATGACATTGATCGTTTTAAATATATGTAAATACAACCGGCAACAATGTGAAATTGTTTCTTGGGTCTCGGCTATGATCAGTTCACGCTGTTGTTAATTTGCAATTGACATTAGAAAGAAGTTTTGTTGCTTTGAAACTAACTATAATTTTTGGTCTATTTTTAAGTCCGTGTCAGACGGTCAAATATTTGAGCACTGACATAATGACGTCATAATTACAGTGTTCAAATTTTTAAAATCTACCTGTCACACGATCATTCAAATTTGATCAAATTGGCGTAGGTCAAGGAAATTAATTGTCTTTTTTACTTATTTTATTAGTTGCTTGGGCTTTATTTACGATTCTAATTTTTCTTATACACAAAGAAAATAAATAGGGTGAAAGGATTTTTATAATAATATAGATGTTTGACATTATATAAACAAATTATTTCTCGGTATAAATCAATTATGTAGAAACTTGTTCCTGGCTGCAAGATATTTTAAATCTTTATTTTTATTTTATAACAAAATAGGAAGACAAATAAACCACACACTGTCAATCAAAGAAAAAAAGAAAATTAATTTAAATACGTTATGTCTAACTGCTGATTGTCATTTGACTTTAGATATTTTTTGACCAATCAGAAATTAAAGTTTGATCAAACAGACCTTGAAAATAGAAGATCCTCTATTTTTAGAGGATTTGATCAAACTCAGGATGTGACGTCATATGCTGTCAATTTTTTGGTTTGGTCAAACTAGTTTGATCAAATATTTGACCATCTGACATGGACTTTATAGTTTGTGTACTTTTGATGATAGAGAAAACGGAGGTAAGTTCGTTATTTCTAGTGTTATAAAATTGTTTTAGTACGGTTTGACAATAGTAATTTTGAGTATCTAGCATTTTAACTAACGCCAGCTTTTTTAAGATGGCGGATAATATTGAATGGGGTGACTTTGGTCAAGTGATCAATTTAACTCCAAAGTTGTTACATGCGTTCCAGAAATGAATTTATAATTTTTGTTACAGATTTAAGAATGTCAATCAAAATGGGAAGAACGTACAAAAGCAAATTAGGCAGTATAACTTTTGACAATTTTAATGAAGAATAAGTTAATCAGGCGTTGCACGATGTATTGAAAAATGGATTCTCGCTAAGAAAAGTCGCAATAAAAAATACAGATAAGCCGACAATCGAGATTGATAATCTAATATTTTGGAGTCTGTTTATAATAAACAAATTGCTCTTTCGTTTGATCTTGGTTCCGTCTGGATATTTACGCAGGAGGGGCGCTTTCATTGTGAAAGTAGAAATTTGGTCATCGGGACTTCGATGTTGGCAGCTGTAAGAGAGCAATTTAGAATCTGGGCGGTTAAGGTTGGTTCTAAAGGTTTCTTCTAAGGTTGGTTAAGGTCTAAAGTTTTGAAAAACCTGCAAAGTTTTCCCTTAATTCCATGTGTGTGGTGAGAAGAATGTTATTTAAGCTTAAAATACAGTGTGACAGTCTGCAATGTGAGTTAATCAACATTTGTTGTAAGCTGTATCCTGTGTCAAGGGATTTGATAACAGCGCAGCGTCTGAGGATAGTTGAAAGTCGCCTTTGAAAGGGATAGCCTGAAGTCCAGTTTTGGTATTTGATTTTTCCCAGGATTAGTAGGCGTTCGCAAACGTTTCAACTTTTTGCTTACCAAGCCAAGTAATTGTTCAGTCCTCCTTTTTAGCCTATAAGCAAAATAATATTGGTACAGCCTACTGGAGACTAGCTTAGAGATAAAAAACTCCAGAAAGTCGACCAGAAAAAAGAAACCTAATATTAACACAGATGAAGAAAAGTTAAACACAGAAACAAGATGAATTAGGATGGAACATAAAAATACCAAAAACGGATACTCCTCTGTTACCTTCCTAAAATATTCCAGAATTGAACTACAATTGCCATTTGGATCGCCAACTTTTATTCTATAATATCTATAAATAATATCATTAAAATTTCCAATTCTTTCGAAGAAATTAGGTTTTTTCTATTTTATGTAAAACAATAAAAATACAGATATGTTGTTTTGTAAATGATTCTTCAATTATGTTCCATCAAGATCGGAAAATTATTCCAATTGTAATACAAACTGATTGACAAATCATCGTATATACCATATTTAGCCTCGTGTGACTATTTCGTGTTTAGAAAAATAAGAAAAACAACGATACCCTCGTTTTTCTCAGTTGACACATGCTTCATTATAATACGCAACGGAATTTGGCAATTTATATGTACGCATCCACAGTAGAATCAGAGATAAATGTGAAGAAGACCAGGATGAAACACAATTTGGCTTCAGAAATGGACTGGGAACTCGGGACGCCCTCTTTGCACTCAATGTATTACTGCAGCAATGTCGAGATCAAAGGAAAGACGTCTTTGCTGTATTTATTGACTATGAAAAGGCCTTTGATCGAGTACAGCATCACAAATTAATTACAATATTAAAAGATAAAGGAGTTGATAGTCAAGACATACGATTCATAGAAAAGTTATACTGGCGTCAAACAGCGACAGCTTGCATAAACGGAAAATCAACAGAAATATGTAAAATACAACGAGGTGTCAGACAGGGTTGTATACTATCCCCACTGTTATTTAATTTATATTCAGATAGAATATTTAAAGAAGCGCTGCATAATTTGGAATGGGGCGTGAAAGTTAATGGAATTCTGATAAATACAATCAGATATGCAGACGATACAGTTATTTTAAGTGAATGGACTACAATGCCTTTTAAATGCCATTGATACAGTGGGAAGAGAGTTTAGCCTAAACATAAACTGTTCAAAAACAAAACACATGGTGTTTAGCCGTTTAGCACATCAAGATGCACGATTATATGTTGATGGTCATATAATTCAAAGAGTGTTCAGTTTTAAATATTTTGGTTGCCATATTACTGAACAACTAGATCCAGATCAAGAGATAAAATGTAGAATCGAGATTGCCCGCACGACATTTTTAAAAATGAGGTCATTCTTCTGTAATGATAACTTGCAACTCCAACATCGAAAGCGCATGGTTAAATGCTACATTTGTAAGTCCTCTTATACGGTGTCGAAGCATGGACATTAAAAATATCTACCATTAATCGTCTGGAGGCCTTTGAAATGTGGCTGCACAGACGTATACTAAAAATTCCATGGACGGCTATGCTGACAAATGTGGCAGTCCTTGAGAGAGCAAATGCTGCTCGCGAGCTGCTTGATAACATCAAATGTAGAAAGATGGCCTATTTTGGACACGTAGTAAGAGGAGACAGATATAATATTCTTCAACTTATTATGATGGGTAAAATCGAAGGACGCAGAGGAATTTGTAGAAAGCAGGTTTTTTATTTGAAGAATATCAGGGAGTGGACAGGAATAAGGAAAGCTGAACAACTCTTGACATTTTCGCCATGTTAATCGTCAACGTCAAGGGGACTTGATAGGGCACGTTAAGAAGAATATGTACAGACCCGTTTTAACAAAATTTAGAACCTATCTGGATTTACAAAATTAAGTATATATTTGTGAAATAAGATAATTTTCTGTCGAATTTAACCTTAAAATATTTAAGTAACACGAGAGATATAAGCCATTTTGAAGATCATTTTGAACCTGATTGATAAAAGTCTGTTAAGCTAAATTCCAGAGAAAATCAATAGTTTTTATCAGATTTTTCTTTCATTCATAATTACTTTCAAAACACATATCTGACGATTCAAGCTCTAACTGTTACACTTTCGCGATCAAAAGAATGGCACTCTTCGAGTGACGATAATTGTTGGATCTAATTCACTACTTTACATTTAGAACTAACTTAGACTACGGTTCGACGAGCAGTCTATTATCTCCGTTAGACATCTACCGAATTCTTCTATGATTAGACGTTTCGTTATTTCTTCGTCTTGAATGGTTTCGTCTGCGTTGTCGGAAATTGTTAATAGACACTGACACGTAGCTTCTATGACGTCGTCCGTTATAAAATTTATGGTTTGCTTTCTGTAAAAATAAACAAAATTAAATCGGTGAGATCAAGAAGAATATAAGTGCAAAATCATAAATTTTCATCAAATAGAATAAAACTTAATACAGTGCGATATCTGAGCAATCGCTTATCCACTTCATTTGGGAATATTTTTGACACAGGTGATAAGACCATGGTGTCTACAAGATACCTTGTTCCAGTTGCTCACGTACATACATAGGACAGACAAACCGACGAATGCATAACCGTATTTACGAACATTCTATATCTGTCAAACATTCCGATACTATCTCAGCTCTAGCTCAACATCATATTTAGACAGACCACAAAATAGATTTCGAAAAAGCAAAAACCATTGCTCCCATCTGCTCCTTAAAATCGAGAATCATTCGTGAAGCCATCGAAATTGAAAAATGGTCTAACAGCTTAAACACGCGTAATGACGCTAAACGACTGCCGGCAACATGGCGACTGCTGCTTCAGCAATAAATTTCCTCGGTCAGGTAACTGATAAACGGTCGACTAATTTTTTAAACATAAATTTTATCTTCTTTTTGAAAATGGCGTCTTTCCAACAGAACGGACAAGTCTCGAGAAAAATCTATATTATGGAAAAAAAACTATCATAAGCAAACTACCCATACTTTGAAATTGTAAAGGTTTTGCAATGCTAGAGTAACAACCTTGATTAAAAACAGAATCCTTTTTTTAACTAGCAAGCCACTAATTTTTAAGATCGGGTATTATATTTGTAGATACTACGATTTTCTGGTAATCTTCATGTTCCGTTATTTCTTCTAAGACGTTTTTCAGTATTATGTTGTTCCGATTCTGGCCTTGGCAATCATCAGAAAACTCATGTTATACAGGGTGTTTCAAAAAATGGTAATCCCGTCTCTAGGGTAGGTAAAAAACTGAAAAATAATTGGGGTTTGCTTAGTAATTTTGTAACGCCATCCGTTTTCAAGATACAGGGCGTTGAAGAGAAAAAAAATTACGCATTTTTTACGATTTTGCCGAAACTACTGGCAACATTGTAATGAAATTTTATACGAATATGTTTTGGAAGCTGATACATCCCATGAATTTGTTTTTATATCTGATTCTCATAGAGGGCGCTAGTTACACGGATCGTACTAAGTATTAGTCTACATAACTTTTTTAAGAGTATAATTTAATTAAAATTTCAAATAAACTTAAACATCATCAAAATCAAAATATTCCGAAAACGGTACACAGTATCGAGTTTTACCAAGAGTACCTTTTTCGTGTAAAATTGAAAGATGTTTCAGTTTAATTGAAATTTTGATTAATAATTATACTCTTAAAAAGTTATATTGACTAATACTTAGTACGATCCGTGGAACTAGCGCCCTTTGTGAGAATCAGATATAAAAACAAATTCATGGGATGTATCAGCTTCCAAAACATATTTGTATAAAATTTTATTACAATGTTGCCAGTAGTTTCGGCAAAATCGTAAAAAATGCGTAAATTTTTTTTCTTCAACGCCCTGTATCTTGAAAACGGATGGCGTTACAAAAATTTTTTACTAAGCAAACCCCAATTATTTTTCAATTTTGTACCTACCCTAGGGACGTGGTTACCTTTTTTTGAAACACCCTGTATTTTACTAATGCGTTCAAAATATGTAAATTAAAATGCAATTGGAAATATATAATTCCACATAAGACAGATAATCATAAAAATGGCTAATAAAATAGCCACTTAATATAAAATATCGAAATCGAGTAATTCGTAGCATTGCTTACCTTGAACTGGAACTTCGCCGTTGTCGAAACAGTCCTAGGCTTTTGCCGTTTACATCGAGGGGGGCGGGACAAGCGGGCGTGTTGGTAGCTTTTTCGCTTAAATGCCTTACACTCTTCTTATCTATAGCTTCTTCTATATTCCGACAGCCAAAACACTTGCAATTATTGGAACATGCGATCTTGGCCTGTGAAAGTAAATACAAAAGTCACGATAGGAGTAATCTCAATTATTTGCTTCCTAGAATAAAAAATAAAGTACCACATCTGTAACAAGTGACTCATGTCACTTGTCAAATGCCATTCTTTGAGTTAAGGCCAGGATATAAAAAAGGACAACCAAGATCTGTAGCTAATATAATATCAACCAAAACTATACAGTCGATCTGTGACCAAAGAGCAGAAAAATGATTATCCCCTCTGTGTACAGTTATGTGACCTTGACAGTTCTATGATTTCTCATTTATCAGTGTCATCCTAACAGTCAAATTTTATGTTTCAGAACAGTCAGTTTAAACAAAATTTTGACTTGTTAATTCGACTGTCGGTTCAATCCTAAAAAACAAGGACAAAATTTTAAAAGCCTTTACTGGGGAGGGAGAAAATGGTAAAAAGATTAGGAAGTGCATTCGTGGTGATGTAGATTCAGCTCGACTCAAATGGTTCAAGCAATGTCGCAGTTCTGATATTCCTGTGTCCGGACCATTTTTAAAAGAGAAAGCTACATAGTTCTGAAAACTGTTTGGTAAAGATTTCACATGCTTTGACGCCTAGCTAGATCGGTTTTAAAGTCCAAAAATTCTTGTAGAGGCAAAATGTGTGGATGAGAACGTGAGGTGATTGATTTAAAAAAACATGGCCACAACTAAGGCAACCATACAAGAATGAAGATATTTTCAATGGTGATGAAAATGGTGACTTTTACAAATTAACGACACACAAAACTTTATTTTAAGAATCAAAAATGTGTCCGTGAAAAGCTTTCAAAACAACGAATCACGGCTTTTGTTTGTGCAAACATGACAGGTACAGAGAAAAGAAAGCTTTTAGAAAGCAGCTCAGATTATTAAGGACACTACAGCAAAAATTTATTTTTCGGAAAGGTTGTGCAGAACAAAATAACTGACTTTTTCAGAATTAGAGAACTTTTTAATAAAAAATGTAAGCTTCATATACATATGTTTTATTTCTTAATAATTACTATAGGATTACTAAAAGATTATAACACATCATAAAATAGGTAGTACTCACCTCATAACATTCGCAGTAATTCTTAAGACATCCAGATCTCTTACAATTACAGCCCTTGGTATGCTTCCTTATGGAAGTATCTCCTACTACATCCTTTGCTTTGCCAATTTTTGGTCTGAAAGCGTTGGGATTTCGTTCCAAGCATGCTTTGATCGCTCTAAAAATATTCTAATGAACAAGAATCACCTACACCAAAAACATAAAGTACACAAAAAAATACTCAAGCTAACTTGGGGAATAGATATCAACAATAAAATCAATAAACAATATCTATTCTAAACTGTAATACTACCTTAAATGATAAGAACAAAGTAACGATCGATACTAGGTACAGCTAGTTTTTGAGGTTGAACAGAATAAGTTATGTGACAAAATTTAAGATTTGACAGTGACAGTATGTAAAGCTAGTACAAACACTCCTGACTATGGAGCTGCGCGAAGGCGGAGTCAAAATTCACGTCAATATCCACGGGTCCCCTACGCTTCAACCTGTCTGGCTTCTATAGCACTCGAGAAAGTTTAGAAAGGGTCACCGGCCGAATTCTAGGGAATTCCAGATAACGATTAATATATATATATATATATATATAATATATATATATATATATATATATATATATATATATATATATATATATATATATATATATATATCGTCCCTACCATTTCCAACTATCGAATGTGAAAAATCGGGTTTTTCAGATTCGATACCTTGCCCTTGCATTAAACGTGATACACCTTGTAGCAAAATATCGAAATTGTAGCTTGATCAGAAACGCGGGAAATATTCTGTCTAAACCATCGAATATGAACATTTTGTCATTTTGTTTTGGTCAAAATATCGAATATGCTGCAAACTGACGAAAATGGAATATTCGATATTTTGTTTTGTATAAATATAACTAAAGGCATATATATGTACAATGCAAAATGACGAATGTGTCACATTCATTATCTTCAGTGTTGTATTTGATACATTTATTCAATTATAATCTGCAAACTGTCGAAAATACTAAACATTGCTGACAAAAACAAAACGCACGTGTTCACAATTTGTGAATTATTGCTTCCAAGAAGTTCTTTCGGTGAGGCACTTTATTATTTTGTTTTTTAATGTGTCACATACATTAGTTTCAGAGTTGTAATTGATACAGTTATTCAATTATAATTTGCAAAATGTTAAAAATACTAAACATTGCTGACAAGAACAAAACGCACGTATTCACAATAATTGTGTGAATTATTTCTTCCAAGAAGTTCTTTCGGTGAGGAACTTTATTATTTTGTTTTTATCGGTTTTTCATTATCTGATTATTCAGTTAACTGGGTATAGCTAAACCAAAAACAGTGATGTTGTCAAAGCGAGAATTATTTAAAAAATATTAAACAATGCTGCCTTTGGGACGTCGTCCACACAGTGTATATGGTACCAGTATCGGAAAAATGAAAATAACAAACTTTACATGAAGACTAGCATGCTAGCATTGACGGAAACTTTTTATCTCTTGAAACCATACAAAAAAGAGGCAAACAAAATAGTATAAACTCTGTTAAGGCATACGACGAAAGACTCCCAATCACGGATATGAGGAAAAAAAACCTCTTGTCACTATGTGAACAAAACTTAATACCTAGGCCATACCACCAATATTACCAATCTTTACCAACATCTAATACTGCCAGAGATTGTCTTCCAGAACCTGACGCAACTGAAGACAATGATAACGTTGAATCTAAAATTTAATACTTTACTTTAATTTATCATTATTTTACTACTGATTACTTGAGGTATCTACAGGACGTGAAGTTCCATAATTGTATTGTGATTATTTTTAACTTTTCTAATTACATTAATTTTCTATCAATACGTACTTTCATAAAAATACTTTTAATAATTTCTTTATACATGATTTTCCCATTTTAACCTATAACTTCAATTTTTAATTAAATTATTTGTAATAAACTTTGTAAGAACATTGAGATTATTTTCATTTTCCTCCTTTTCAATTAAGAATATTAATGTGTTAAAATTAGACCAATATGAACTGTCGAAAATGCCACATTCGGAATTTTGAAACATTGCACCAAATAAATGTGCTAAAATTATACAAATATGAACTGTCGAAAATGCCACATTCGCAATTTTAAAACATTGGACCAAAACAAATCGTTGATTAACACAAAAAGCAATATAACGAATGTGATTTTGTGGAAAGAAGCAAACGGTAAGCAGTTTTATTCTGATATCAATCTAACAAGGATCAAACATTAATTTTTAAAAATATAAAAAATTTTCCATTTGTCAAAGCGCTGATTTAGAATTCTCTAAAAAAGAGTTATTTTGCTCTCCTGAAAAGTACCACATTTCACATTCGATAGTTGGAAATGGTAGGGACGATATATACAGATTGAACGAAATAAATTCGGAACATAGGAATATAATGTATTTCGGCTCAATTCTGCTGTAGCTGGTTGGCCAACAAAAGATTGTCAAATAATTACATTATAAAAATTCCCATACTTCAGCGGGCTGCTGGATTCTGAACTCATAAAAATTGAAACCTACACATAAATCTACGATTTTATTATGCTGTCAAACGAGTTATAGTCCAGGAAATGTAGCATTTCAACTCGCAATTTTTTGTGCGGTGTGGATTGACTTGAAATTTAACAGAAGGTAGGTAATAGCCTAAGGATCAAAATCTATATCGAACCAAAGTGCGCCAAAGCCTAGGGGGTGGTTGGTCTCCGAGGTCTCCTAGGGGGTCTCCGGGGTGCAAATTTTTTTTACGTTTTAACTACAGGTTTCGATTAGAAAAGTGATTCTAAACAAAAAATGTGCTATACATTTTTTTTATAAAATGATATTTTTCAAGTTATTCGCGATTGGAAGTAACAACTTTTAGACAAAAAAAATCCACGTTTTTAATCGATTTTTCGCGAATAACTCGAAAATGGTGCATTTTATCAAAAAAATTGTTGAGAACAAATTTGTAGCTTTTAAAAAGACAAATACAATTACAAATACAATATCAATGTTCAGCGGTTTTCTTCAAATGCCAAATTTGAAAGATGCAAAGTCAAATATCGGGAAAATGATGGAAGAAAACTCACAAAACCTTTTTTAAAGAGCATAAATAGACCTATCATAAAAAATAAGGTCAATACCTCATTTTTTACGAAAAAAATCGAGGAAAACGACACCCTAACCACCCCCATAATTAAAATCGATCTTCACCCTTCTGCAATTCCCTTTGTAGATGTATTGTTAATACGTCCAAGAAGTTTGACCCATTAAAAATGCTTAGTTTTAGAAAAAGTACAGCTTAAAGCGAGAAACGATTTACAATTTCATATTTTTTACCCTTCTTTTTTTATATATGCCCAAAAATACTGAATATATGAAAAAAATAAAAATTACCAAATTGTAGCTTTTTTAATGACTAAAATTATACTTTATTTAGATTTGTTGTACAATGAATATTTGGCGAGGTATAGCCGTTTAGAGCATCGATTTACGATCAAGCACCATCTTTTTCGAGCCCTTTAAACTCACCCCATTTAAAAACCAAGGGTTCCAAAAAGATTTAATTTACAGATCCTTGTAGCTAATAAAAACCTCTACAAATCGTTTTTGAAGAAACACTCTATCGTTAAAAATTAAAGGAAATACGTTAAAAAAACCAGTTAATTTTTTTCCGGAAAATTCCATTAGTATAGTACAGTACATTTCGGAGCATAATAATCTACAAAACCGGTATATTAGCTAGTGGGGCGTTGTACATTCGAAATTTTAAGCGTTCTTATTTTGAAATCCCATACAACAGAATAAAACATCTGCTCATATGTCTATGGCTTGGCAATGAAAATATCAGAGCAACAGATTGGGGATGGTATTCCAAAGATGGTTTGTTATTACCCGTACGCATGAACAAACAACCTGCACCCGATAAATTTTTGAAAATTAATTTTTGCCAATGCAAAAAAAGATGCGGCGTTTCATATGGGTGCAGAAAAGTTGGTTTATACTGTAACTCTACTTGTTCTGGGTGCTCAGGTGAAGGGTGCAATAACAGTCCACCAATAATTGAAGAAGATGAGGATGACATAGATCACGATGAAGATGTAATTGATGACGAATAAAATTAATATTATAATTGTTTTACCTATAAATTTAAATATTTTCAACTCTTTATGTAAATGTATAAGAATATATGGTGCCTTTTTATGTTGATAATTTTTTTGTATTTAATTCTACTTTTTTCAATTTATATCTTATAAATTAGTTTATAAAAACTGCAATGTTGTAAAGGGTGATTTTCAAAAGTTGAAAAGTTGCAAAATTTTGGCAAAAAATTGTTTTCACCTATAGCACTCATAACAATTGATTTTTAAGGGTTGAAAATATATTAATTTGTATTTTAAAGTATAAAAAACTCACTATTTAACTAATCCAAACCAAATTTCACTCATCTTAAGATTTGTAATATTATTTTACAATTTTTTAAAAGTAAGGGTAGTTTTCACCCCTAAGAACAATTAGGGTTCATCGGCATGACATAAACTATAAAGCAGAGGGTGAGTTGAGCTTAATTTTTATGCAAATCGTTCCAAGGTGAAATCATTTTCTTCGCATTACTAATTTTTTTATATTAATCTCTAATAAGGGTCGCTTTTTAAGGGTTGAAATATGATGGAACTTTATTCAAAAGCACGAAACTATCAATATTTAATTAATTCAAACCAAATTTTACCCATATTCAGGTTTAATATGTTATTTTATAATTTTTGACAATTAGGGGTAGTTCTCACCCCTAAGAACAATCAGGGTTCGTCGACATGACATAAACTATAGGCAGCGAATTGAGCTTAAATCCAAATTTTTATCCAAATCGATCCAAGGCGAAATCATTTTTTAGAATTAGTAATTTTTTACATTAATCTCTAACAAGGGTTGCTTTTTAAGGGTTGAAATATGATGGAACTCTATTCAAAAGTATAAAATAGTCATTTTGACAATTAGGGGTAGTTTTCACCCCTAAACCCCTTCAGCGCACTTCGGTTCGATATAGATTTTGATCCTCGGGCTATTACCTACCTTTTGCTAAAATTTCAAAAAATTTCAACTGGATACATGCAGGACGAGAAAATTGCGAGGTTTTAACTTTTTTCGAGCTTCATTTCCTGAACTATTATCGCCTCCTTAGACAAACCCGTCTTACGCAAACAACTTTGTTGCGAGACAGATAGTTGAACGATATTTTATACAATGTCTATACCCAGGTATGGATTTATTTTTGTCCAAGTTTTATATTAGTCCACTATTTCAAATGCAGTTCAAACAGACATGTATTAAATTGTATGTTCCGTTTTAATTTGGTTCAATCTGTATATATATATATATATATATATATATATATATATATATATATATATATATATATCAATCAAATCAATGTGACAAATCTTACTAATTTAATGTCACTTTTCACAATTTAACTTAGGTACACCTAAATCCGATCAAGACATGGCCTAAATTTTTCAGTTTTTGTCCTCTAGGAAAAACCAGCTACCATCGGTTCTACCTTGATACATCAAAATAAATCCCTATATGCATTTCAACGAGAACTTTAGCAATCTTCATACATCACACTTCGATGTAAAATCCTTTCCAAAAGGAACCACATGGTGAGTTTAACAAATTCATCATCATCATCATCATCCAGCCTCTATTTATCACGTCCACTGCTGGACATAGGCCTCCCTTAAACTCCTCCATTCCTCACGATTTTGTGCTCTTTGTTGCCAATTTTTAGTGATACGCCTGATGTCGTCGGCCCAACGTGTAGGTGGTCTTCCTCTACTGCCTTTGTCTGCTCTTGGTCTCCAATTTGTAATTTTGTAATTACAATGTAATTTTGTAATTTGTAATTTTGTAACAAATTCATATCACAATATAATTCATTTATATTCACTAATTCTAGGTTCCCCAGCAATGGTCATCGATACATTTATTACCAACCCTCTTATAATTAGATTTCAAACAAATTGACTTTTCTATTCTGTCCTGTAAATAAGTATTTTTGTCATCAGTTAATTTTTCATACAGAGACTGATTTCCAAAGCCATTTTATTTTTTGTGTTGCTTTTCGGAATAGTAGATCCCTATCTATCAAAAATAGTTGCGTTTTTTAATTACTTTGGTGTATCTAACAATAAAGTTAACTTTCCATGTTTTTTTCAATAAAAATAGTTTTTTCAAATTGTTCACTGAGCTCTAATTAAAACAAGGTACTTTTTCTCCTGGCTTCATGTTTCGATATATTGTACATCAGCGATAGAATAGAAGTGTTGTATCATATTATACTGTTCTTGTTAACATATTGTGACATTTTGGTAACTTTTCAATGTTTGTATAAATTTTAAATAAAATTTTGAATCTATTTTTTTACTCTAACTTATATTGTATTTATTTAATGTATTTTATAACATATCAACATATGTATTTGACATTGTTTGACATCTATATATGACTTTACAATCATTAGAACTGAAGAAGTGCAGAAATACTGCACGAAACGTTTTCTATTAAAAGATTGAAATAGTTTTTTCATTTTTTATTTCTCCTTGACTGATATCCTCATTTACAGTGAGATTTTAATCTTACTCACATTGTGTATTTAAATTTAGACTTACTCCTTTCGATTTATAAAAATAGTTCAATACAATGCATAGCACAGTGCGTTTCGCATGGAAGTGGGGACTAAACCAAATTTCGTCTACTACGCCGTGGTCAGGAATATTTGCACTATCTCTAAATAATAAGTATTTATCATTCAAAATACATTGCTCAATTTTCTACAAAATACGCTTTAGGAGTCATATCATTTTTTTAGGAACCAGCTGTAGATTCAGATGCAATTAAAAAAATAATCAGATAGATACGACGAATCCATAGAATATTACTAATATTAAAATTATTACTTACCTATTCCGATGATCTTCGTTTTCTAAATTATTAAAACAATTCATACAATTGCACATAAAACAGAATTCTCCGTTAGCGAAACAATCACAGTACAGCTTCAAACACTGAGACTTGTTACAGTTACACGGCTTCCTAGGTCTCATGCCGTTGGCATCCAGCTCCTCTTTAGATTGAGGAGAGGTATTTTCATTTGATCCAGTCGAGGATTTAGTAGATCCTGCAGGTTTCTGTTGAGGAGAAGCCGGAGGAGCTATGGATACTTTGGTAACTTTTGAATGGAACTGAATGGATTGCGTGGTAGGGATCTGCACGGGCATCACCATCAGAGGTGTGCTCGTCAAAGTTTTGCTGTTGGGCGATATGGGAACTTTGTCTTTGGGGTGGATTTTCGGTACGATCCTATTTAGTGTTGAGATGGGCTGAAAATTAAAGTTATTATTGTTAGACACCTGCATAAACTTGTGCAAAGTATTTATATTTACAATCCCAATCCGGACGGTAATTCTATTGATTATTAGAAATTTTAAATTTCAACATACAAGTGCTACATAAAATACATGTACTTACTTTTACTTCTGATAAAACAATATTTGCTGGTGTCACAATGGGAGAAGATTTTACAACATTACCGGCAGTTGTTGTGTTCGCATCGGCCGTGCTGGTAGTTACAAATTTTATGTATTGCATCTAAAACCAAAAAAATCTTTAAATTTGTGAATATGCTCACAATACATGAGGTAAATATATATTACGATCTATAATTCTCTGACAGTCGGCCCAGTCCTAAAAAATATGGAAAAATTTTAAAAGACTTAAATGAGGAGGAAGAAAATGTTAAAAAGATTAGGAAATGCATTCGTGATGATGAAAACTGTTTGGTGAAGATTTCACATGCTCTAACGGCTGGTTAGATCGGTTTAAAACCCGGCACTCAATTTCCTTCACGAAAATTTTTGGAGAGGCAAAATGTGTGGACGAAAACGTGACAGGTGATTGCTAACAAAACACATAGCCACAACTGAGGCAACCATACAAGGATGAAGATATCTTCAATGGCAATGAAAATGGTGTCTTTTACAAATTAACGCCAGACAAAACTTTAAATTTCAAAAATCAAAAATGTGTCCGTAGAAAGCTTTCAAAACAAAGAGTCACGGCTTTGTTTTTTCTAAACATGACAGGTACAGAGAAAAGAAAGTTTTTGGTTATTGGAAAAAGTTTACATCCTAGTTGTTTTAAAAACATAAAAACACTGCTTGTTAACTACATAAAAGCGTGATGACTTCTGCTATTTTTGAAGAAGAATTGAGAAAGTGGGACAAAGAACTCTTAAAAAAAAAGAAAAATTCTTATCTTCGTTGACAAATGTGCAGCTCATTCCAAACTTAATTTGACCAATATCGACCTAGTTTTCTTACCAGCCAACCACACGAGTGTCTTGCAGCCTAGAAACAGCTTTAGGAAATGATGATTTTTTGTATGGACAGCGGGGAATCCGTGAACATTACCATCCTTTATGCAGTTCAGTTTTTGGATAATGCGAGGCAATTTGTAAGTGCTTTCGTCAAGCTAAATTGACTGTAGTTTCTCCCAATGTTCAGTATCTTGACGAGGATGACGAAATTTCTTAATTTTTTTATCCTAAATGAAGTTGTAATAATAAATAATGCTGTGATACAATTTTGCCTCATTAAAATTTCATTTTTTTTCTACCTATTTTATAAGGTCACTTTGATAGAGTGTCACTTAGGTAGAGTCATTTTTTCCTGGAGCCTTTAATGACGCTATAACCAAGTTCCACTGTAATACGTGACATTCGTCATGAAACGTGATATAATACACGCCTCCAGCAAAAATGTCGCATCTACCAAAAAATGGGGTCAAAGGTCAAAGTGTGATGAAGTGGCTTACTATCTACTTTGTATTTTCTTTTTTTTATTTGTGTTCTCTGTCGTCATATTTTTAAAATAACTGGAAATAATTTAAAGATTTTCTGTGTATTTTATCCGCTCCATATTGATGACTAATATCTTTTAATATTACACTGGGGTGCAAAATTAACCGGTCACTCAGATTTTTCCTAAAAACTTCCGTTTAAAAAAGTTTAAGATGTTCCTAATTGAGTATTCATTAATAAACAAAATTTAAAAGTCAAATTTATTACAACTCAAGAATGTTACAGAGAAAAAACAATAAACAATTCAAAAAATTTGAAAATCTGCACAGAAACAATATTTTTTAAAATATAAACATTTTTTACGAAAAAAACGATATTTAGTTAAGTGTATTACGTCCACGAACCCTAATTACGGCTCTCATTCGATCAGGAATACCTTGTATTAAGGCAGCAAAGTGTGCTTGAGGGATTTGCTCCCATTAGTCACGAACTGAATATCCCATGCATGCTCTATTGGATTTAAGTCTGCACTCTTTGGGGGCCATGGTAAGAAATGAATCCCAACTTCATCCAAGGAATCCCGATTTATTCTTGCGATGTGGGGACGAGCGTTAGCTTGCAATAGACGAAAGTTTTCTGATACAAATGTAGCAAATGGCACTACATGATCTTCCAAACATTGCTGAATATACCGTTGAGCGTTCAAATTGCCCCCTTGAACAAGTTCTGTATGAGCCTCTACGCTCATACCAAATGCCTGCCCACACTATTATACCACCTCCAACAAATTGAACTCTCGGAATAAAATAACATTGCTGATAACGTTCACCAGCTCCTCTCTATATCCTAGGCCGTCCATCTGATGAGTATCTGTTAAATCTTGATTCATCCGTTAAAAGCACAGCACTTCAATCGTCAACCAGTTCCGTGATAGGTGGAGTGGACAGTGGAGGTGACTGGAGTTTAATCCATATTCATTTAAGCGTCTTAGAACGGTATAAACGGAAACTGTTTCTATGGGCATCATTTAATCGTTGAACAAGTTCCGGTGCTGATAAAGTACGAGCGCGTAACGCTTGTAACCAAAGAGTATGCTCATAACAAGGCTCGGACCATAGGATGGTATTATACTATCATCGCCACGTAAAATAAATGCATTATTTTAAAAATTCCAGCGTTCACCGTCAAAGCGCAGCGCCCAGCCGCGAGCCAGGTATCAGACCATAGACTTGGACCATAGTATTCCAGCTTAGTACTTTTTCGATCCTCTATATCTCTCTCTTTCGATCCTAGTACTCTACGATCGACACTATGAGGTGCCGACCACCGAGTCTCGCTGCGGGTAAAATAAATGCTTTGTTTTAAATGCGAGCGTTCACTTCACTGTCAGTGCTATGATCCAGGCGAGGATACCATGCGATGGTCTCCGTAATGAACGCACCCTAAGAAAGCGATCTTCAACTTGACTTGTGGTTCTTCGTCTACCTTGACCTGGCCTCTCCTGGTGTATTGTCCTGGTTCCCAAAATATTTGTATTGCATCAAACACTGTACTTCGAGAAATTCCTAAAGCGTTTGCAATGTAACGAATGCTCCGCCCATCATCCTGTAAAATAACAGGTTGTGCCACTTCTTCTGGTGTCATAATTTTTTTAATGCAAGTTTTAAACAGAAAACAACACAAAAATCTACAACCGAACTTATAATCAGGTGCAGTGCCACAATAAACTTAAATAATACTAAGCCACTGTTTCCATTAATAACAAAACATAAATGTGTAAAATTGTATTTAGCACAAAACATCTAAACAGGTTCAAACAAGAAAAAAACGTTATCGATAATAAGGCATAAAATACAATTCAAACAAATTAAACAAGTTTTGATCTAAACACCAACAAAAGACAAAAAAATCTGAGTGTCCGGTTAATTTTGCACCACAGTGTAGATATGGTTAAAGTACATTTTAATAAAACAGTTCAAAAGTTACTTACCCCTTTACCAGGTATATTAATTTGATGCACCTGTCCAGAATTCATGGCCTGTGCAGTAGAGACCTGCAGAATTTGTCCCTGTGGCAAAATGGTCTGATTACCAGCAGCCGTTTTAAAGATGAGCCTTTGTGTGCCTTTATTTATAGAGTTCGAAACCGCCGGTAATATTTTCGTTGGAGCCTTCACTTGATTTAAAGTAACCGTTTTTGCAGGTATGTTTTGTAGGTCCGCGGTAGTCAATATTTGGGGAGCACTGCTCTGTGGCAACAACTTTATCGATTTCTGTGGATTTTTTGCTAACAAAACCGACTGCTTTGCAGTAGAAAGTCCAGGTTGGGCTATTTTAGTGCTCGTTATCAACCCCATCTCCTGCGCTTGTTGTAAAGTGATGGTTTTTGTTGGAGTCGGAACACCCAATACGTTTCCTTGAGCCTGTATTAATTTGAGTTGTTGTTGATCTGACTTTTGCACGACCATAAAATGTTGTGTTGGCTTTGGTATACTATTTACAGGTTTTGTAACAGTTTTTGAATTGGCTGGGACTACTTTCTTCATCAGCACAGGCTTTTGTTGAACCAGAGAAATGTTACTACCTTGAGTTGATATCGTTTTGAAAGAAGGTTTTATTGTCAAAGGTCTGGATATGATATTAGCTAAGTTGATTTCCTGGCCCTGTGAAGCTACTAATTTTATTGTTTGGCCTGATCCAGCACCTGAAATTTTCAATGTTATTGATATTGATTATAAAACTATTATACAGAGTAGTCTGTTCTATTCTATATGCCTTAGTTTCTGTATGGAAAACTACTTATTCTCCAAAGTTTTTTTCTTCATAGAACTATACAGGGCCATTAACACTACAATTTAAAAATTATGTGAATTATACAGGGTGCTCCAAAAAAGAGTGGTATATCAAAATTATGATATGCACTTCTTATGAAATACCCTATATTTGATGAAATTTGTAAATTTTATATAAAAAATTAGCTGCACTTTTATAAGTGTTCCCTCTACTTAAATATAGGGTGTTTTATGACGAAAATTATAACTTTGATATACCACTCTTTTTTGGGGCACCCTTTATAATTCACATTATTTTTGAATTGTAGTATTAATGGCCTGTAATAGTTCTGTGAAGAAAAAAGCTTTGGATATTAAGTCGTTTTCCGTACAGAGACAGAGGCGTATAGGATGGGCCACCCTGTATACATATATACAGGGTGGCCCATCAAATAAAACTAAATTTATTTCATTTTCCAGAGATTTATGTTTATGTACTAACAGACTCGAATACCTTCAATTAATAAGTTGGAGGCCTTCGAAATGTAGACTTTGCGAAGAATGGATAACCATATATAATATTTCTGCAAACTTTTGATACAACTATACTAAACTGCCTAGTTTTAATTACAGATTATAAATACCTTGTAAAAATAGTAAAGGCTGTCCACTGACCGCCTTGACAGCAAGGGGAACTTTTGTAGGTTTCGGCGCAATAGTTAATGGCCTTAAAGGAGGTACCGCCATGTTAAGTTTACTAATTTTCAGATCCGAAAAATGTTCGTCTACTTTATTGGACTGATCTATGATTACTTCCAAATCTTCGGTTGCTACTTCTTCCGTTTCAACTTCTTCTTCGTGTTCTATTACTTCTTGATTTTCTACAACCAGTTCTAATGAAAGAAAAAATGGCAATTATTTTGAAATTTTCAAAATTTTACTCTGGTATTTATATGACTCTTTTTTTAACGAATAATTAACTTAAATTTTGAGTTAAAATGTTTTTAAATAATATTTCATTGTTACGAATTAGAACAATTTTATGATGTCTATTAAAGCTTACAATATATTAATCTAAGTTATATAATAAGAGCAAAAATCTTTTATATATATATATATATATATATATATATATATATATATATATATATATATATATATATATATATATAAAACAAAAGCGAAAATTACTTATCTTAAGATATACAAGAAAGATTCAAATTATATAACTAACTACCTTATATAACTAACAGCAAATATGCTATGTGAAACACCCTGTAAATAATCATTTTTACAATACCTTCTGTTTCCATATCATGGTTTAAGATAAGCTCTTGTGAAAATTCATTTAAATGATGCATATCATTACTACTCAAGCTTGACAAACTATTTTCAAGTTGGGCATTTTCAATATTCATTGCTTCCATGCTTTCTGAATCTTCTCCATTCCCTAAAATTTATATTATATAGATATAAGCATTTGAAACAGTATAAAAAATCTACCCATGAATCTGACATTTTAGAAAAAATCAAACATATAGAGTAGCTGCTACTAGGTGTAACTATAACATTTGCACACTTACAGTTTTTTGAACATGGATGTGATAGAGGTGTTACTTTAAATGAAATTTGAAGTGTTCAAGCCAAACAGGACTGGAAATAATTTCATAAAACAAAAAGAATTGAAGACAACATTGGGAATCAGTGCCAAAGAGGTTTGCATCACAATTACAAAGCAAGCAAAAGAAAGATTTTCTTTTTGATGTCATTTATGGGTATTTACTGTTTAATCAAGAGGAATATTTAAAATATTCCTGAAAATTCCCTTTTGATCATACCAAAAATCAAATATATCTCTTTATTTGCCCTAAATAGATCTTAATAACAGCAATCAAGGTCATAAAGGTAAATCGTCAGCACAGTAAGGCAGCTTCCCTAGAACTTACTGACACCCTTGAGTTGGCAGTGAGTTTATGTAGGTACAGTAAGTCAACTGAAGTCCCAAGTACTTATACAACCTGTATATAACTGGTGGTTTTCAGAGAAAAAACTATTTAAATAGATCAGAAAACAAGAAAGTTGAAATAGGCATATACCTACATAAAGAGATTGTATTAAAAACAAGTAATACCAATATAAAAAAAACCACATTATAATGAAGTATTCTTAACTTAAATGGTTAGATAATTAAGTAAGATGAATAATTAGATACATAGATAGTTATTGTAATAAAACATTTATCTTCCTTTTTTCTCCTACGAATGTTATCTCGTAACTCTAAATATCAGAAAAAAACATGAGAACACAAAAGCACAAGCATCTAATAGTATTCTTACTTATAACTAACATTATCAGGGAAAATTATATTTATTTATTGATTGATTTAAATAAATGAAACACAACTTCTCTTCCATACAAAATCACACAGAGTACTCCCATATTTGTTGGTCAAAGTGACACTCAAGACCCATAATTTCAAATTTAAAAATTAGTCAGACTTTGGTGCCTCTTCTAAGTATTTAGAATATTAAATTCCTTCTGTGTTCAAAAATTTTCATTTCCCTTGCATTTCTACCTTATTATTTACTATTTCAGATATTTGTTTGATATATTTAATTGAATAGTCAAAATATATTTAGTCTATATCACAGCTATTACAAAAAGTTTTGAACAGTATATTCGTGTAGAAAAACACACAAATTTGTTTTATATAAAACAGTTCAATGCTCCAAACGCTAAGGGTTTGATATTAGTTTTGATGCTAGAGACAATCTTTTAAAGTGTTGTATTTGAAATTAAGGAATATTAAAATAAAATCCAGCATAACCTGTCTTTTTTAAATAGTCAACTTTATAATGTTAATCTATTAATAATTATAAAATTGAAATTATAATTCTAGGGTTAAATAAATGTAAACGCATATTCAAAAAAATTCCATTTTATGCACAAAAGCAGACGCCTATTTCAAATTGTTACATTTTATATTTGGAAATGTGGTTCCTTTAAACTATTACTAATCGTATAATATTCAGCTATTGCATTACATACCTTTTTCCGAAAAAGACATATTTAATACAAAATTTATTAATTTTCTTTAGAAATGAACTATTTCAAAACACCATAGTTAAATTTGACATGTCACGTGACCTTAAAAGCGCTGCAAAGTACCAACAATAATTTAAAATTAAATTTCCCAGTGTGAAAAATACCGCGCAATTTAAAAAAAAAAACTTTGACGAGTTTAAAAATTACCATTCTTAAAATTAATAAGTGATTTCACAAGAAGAAAAATCATATTAATTATCCTAGCCCTGCTACCATTCTAAAGAAAGAGTTTGCTTTATTTGAACAATTGAAAAATGTGACATTTAGCTCACCTTAATAGAATGTCAAATAGAATGTCTTTTATACTGTTTATTAGTTTATTTTAATTATGGAGAACGCGGAAAACCCCTGTAAAACAAAGGTACACGAAAAGGTTTATGTTTATCCAAGAATCGCAGAAGAATGTCAAGATAACGATAGGAAAGAAATAGATAGGAAACCAAAAAAAATCGACTGTAAAAAGAAAGGTGAACTTGAAGGCATTCTCGGAAAAAATGGTATCGACAAAGACATCTTGGTAAGAAATATATAGAATGTTAACATTTAGTTTCCAACAAATACCAATTGATATAAAATTTACAAATTCATTACTAAATTGTTGATGGCTGGTTTAAATTAAAATTGATTGAAATATCAACTACAATAAGCTTCATTTTTTTGAAAATAGTTATCGTAGTTCAATTTAATATTGATAGATGGCGCAAAAATGTCAAAAGTTCTTTAAATTTTTTATTAATATATTTTTAAAATATATTTAATAATTATTTACACTATTAAACAAAATAAAATTCAAGATTAATTACCTGATTTATAATTTTTAGCGGTTATTTACACTTTGGCATAGATGTCACTAGTGATCTAAGCCATGTTGCCGCTTTATAAACCCAAGAAGTCCTTTAAAAATAACTTCTTGGCTCTTATTTTTCTGTAATTATTTAATTTTGCCCATCTCTACCACCTCCCCCATAATTTCTTTTTAATTATTTTATATGTATATTTTTTAATTTTTTATTTCCTAATCATGAATTTTGTCTTTATTATATTATTTATTTCCATTATTTCTGATATATCAACAGTTGTATACTACTCTGGTTTTGTTTAATAAAATTTATATAGTTTAACAAGATAACGCAGCAAAAGCCAGTAACATAGTTAATTCGGCAAAAATATTTATGTCTCTATTAGCCAAGTTGCATTGAAAATTCAGCTTAAATAAATAAATAAATTATTTGAATCTGTAACAGCTTGAATTGCAGAAGAAATTCTATAATATTATCAAAGAATATAGACGCTTATCTATATTCTTTGATATTATATTGTGTGCAACGCTCTTTTTAGAACCTAATCGCTTTGACCTTTTATACTTAAAACATAGATGTAGGGTAGGTAGTTACTTAATATCTTTCAGGTCGCAGTGTGGAAAGGTCTATGAAAACAGATAACTATTTTGATTCTGTATTTGTTCCTGTAACTTTTTTGGTTCTTTCAATTCATTTGGTCTTTTAGTTATATTATTTAAGTCTTTGTCTCATCCGAAATATTGCTCTACTATTTTCCCTAGGCTTTCATGTTTTCCATGCTTTTGTTTATTTTCTTTTTTTGCGCTATTCCTTTGTACAGAATATTTTTGTACACATTTTGAGAATTTTCACTACAAATTATTATATTTTTACTAGGTTGAGTTTATTATTCTCTTGTTCGTGTACATGTTTTCGCATGTTGTTTTTTTGATTCTACTTTAGTTTCTCGGTTCCATTTTTCCCATTTCTCATACAATTTTGGATTTCTTTACATGTCTTTCTTGAATTTTGCTCTTCAATTTTTCGATCATTTTTTTGATATATCTAATATCTATGTTATTTAATAAACTATTAGGCAACATTGTAACCTACGTCTCCAGAGAGCGAAACGAAAAGTAGAGAAGAGAAAAGACTCACGAGATTCACGATTCACGCACGACAGACGACAGAACAAACTGTGAAAGATCAGACACACGTTGTGGTCACGTCCTAATTCTCATTACCTCCTGTGCAAAAATTTGACTTAAAAGTTAGATTACATTGTCGGAGTGGTATTTTAAAAAGTATTTTTGTAAATTCTAAATTAGTGAGATATTTATTTTACATATAACTAACACGTGAGTATAAGCTTATATTTCTAGAATTATGTATGTTGAAGTAAATCGTAGTAACCGGTACTTGCCAATCAAAATGTTTAAAAATAATCATAATTTTGCATGATAGGCTCTTGTTTAATTTTCAGTTGTTTTTTTGTCAACTCTACGAAGTTTATAACAGTAAATGTGAATAGTTTAATTTACGAATATATGATATGACTGAGTTATGTAATTTATGAATGATTAATCGATTTGTTCCCCGTGTAATGTTTGTAATGTAGTATATTACAAGTAAAAAATTTAACAATATTAATATTATGCACCTGTTTTGTAACTGTTCTTATAATTATCGCAATTTTCATTTGTTTTAACAAATTGCGGCCATGTTGCCATACCTTGTGACATGGCGTGACCTAAGATCATAAAACTGGTGCAGGCGGTACCGTTATTTTGGGATATTTTACGGATTTTCAGAGGATCCCTAAAGATGGAGGAAGCGTAGCACTATTTTTTGACTGACGATCTATTTAAAAATAAATCCCTTTCCTTGCCAAAGCATAAGTCTTATTCATTGTCAAGTTCAGGGAGTTCAGGATTTTAATCCAATTTACATTTTGCTCATTTAAATGTACATTTATAATTTTTTGGAATTTTATTTTACAATATCAAGAAACAGGTTTTAGATTTTGTTAAATATTTTTTGAAGTAAAATTCTTTTGTATGTAGTACCTGTTGAAGTACATTTACAATCACAAATAATTATTACATACATGGTATAATGGGAATGGGTGTGTTTTTTCTTCAGAACATCGTATTGCCTGCATTATAAAAGCTATTAACATAATAGAAGATAACAGAAACTAACTATTTCCCCTCATAAGTCAATTCAGCCTGATTTTACTTATTTTTCTCTAGTGGTGATGCAGTTTCTGAATTTGTCTTAAGGTTTTATTCTGGAACATACCTAAGTTATTACAATTTGTGCTTCCTTTCAATTATTGTCTACAGTTACAGTTTTCTTGGGTAAACTAGCATTCTCATGGCAGCTATTTGATTGACTGCATTGACTTATTTACTGATTAAGATTATACATACATATATAATCAATAATCTCACTCATCGACACTTCAATTAACCAACACATCCAATAATCCAGCACCATTCACACCACACCTTCCTCTGTTTCACCTGACTTAATCCAGTCATCCTGAAAAATCTGTGGCCCACAATGAATACTGAATACTGTATCACAAGAAAAAGAAACAGAAACATGTGACCCTGAAATCTGCGTATTGATGATTGGTTTCAGAATTGATCAGAAAGAGGATTTTAGGACAAGTGAAGAAGATTTTAATTTTTGTTTTAAAGGAATCGAAGAAACAGCAAATTATGACTGAGGAGGAAATATGTGAAGCAGTAAAAGAAGAAGGGAGCCTAGTAGATGTATTGAAGCTACCAACAACTACAACTGTAAAAGTAAAACCAGATACAGCATTTCATTGTTTCAAAACCTGCATAACATGGGCAGAACAAATGGCAGGGAAATGGAAAAAATCTGCTAAAGCTATTATACTTCGTTATTTTGGATTTTTTCAGAATTCATAGAATGGATGGTACAGAATTGAGCTATTCTGCAAGATAGCACTTTGATTATTGCGATTGTGTTTTGCAAGACTTTTCTTGAATTTATGATACAGAAATATTAAAAATGTTATTAAAATTTGTTTTTAAGATATATATCCGGCAGCAGTTAGTTTATCATCAAATACCAGATAAACTAATTTATTATGCTTGACAACACACTAACATTAAACCCGAATATCTTACCTCCTGATTCCCTGAACTAAATGAGGATTTGATTAATTCCAATATAGTTCATTGTGTCAGTTAAATATTCCTGCACTGGATATGAGAGCTCATCGCTAAATATTACCTTCTCTCTTACCTATTACCTTTTAGAAAATGTAACAATATGTTGTCTTAGATAAAAAATAATGCAATTTACAGAAATCTAAACATCAAAATAAACTTATTTTAAAGGAAAATTATGACCTATTCCCAATAAAACTTCTACGGCACTACAGCCCAAACTGAGCCTTGGCCTCCTTTATTTTTTGTTTCCACCCTCTTTTGCCTGTGGCTGATCTTCTCCATACAGACTCCTAAAAGGGCTTGTGTGTCGCTATTTACTGTGTCTTCCCAGCGCTTTCTTGGCTTTCCAACTGGTCTCTTTCCCTGCATTCTAGCATTCAGTGATCTTTTTGGTAGCCTATCCTCCCCCATTCTAATCACATTCCGGCCCATTGCAATCTTTGTATTCTAATGAAGTCTGACAGTGGTGCTTCCTTATAAAGTTGAAGATTCTGAAGATTCCGTTTTCCCTCACAGGTCCTAGTATTCTCTTCGGTACTTTCCTTAGTACCGAATAGAGTTTCCTTAATATCGAGATTGCTTTTGGATATTTTTTTCAGGACCCATGATTCACTGCCATAGGCAGTGGTCGCAATGCTATTGGTCGAATTAAGGTTTTAAAGATTCTCATCTTTGTATTTTGGTGGTAGACCGAAATATATGGGAGAGGGCAAAATAAGCTCTGTTTGCTTTGGTTAATCTCTTCCGTATTTCTCCATCTTCTGATCCGTCCATATTTATGGCTTCTATTACGACTCCATCTCCTCCTGGCGCTATGTCATCTTTTTCATTGCGTCCTGGATTTCACTTAGTGTGATCTCTTGCATGAGCTCTGAACCCTGGTTGATAATTTTTCCTGATGCGGCGGCTTCTAAGTTCCTTTGGTCTTCTCTTTGGCTTGTGTGATAGAATATATGATAGGCTTCTTGATAGAAGTCTTCATCTATGTGAAGTAGTTCTTCTCTATTTTATGTGGGGTCTCCTTTGTTCTTTAGTTTGTGTATTTCGCATTTTCCATTGTTTAGTCGTCTTCTCAGGACTTTCAGACTTTTATTCTCTTTTATAGTTCACTGGACTTTTTCATTCTTAAATTTCCTTAAATTTTTCCTTAGCTTTTGATACTTCTTTGTTTATTTTTCGCAGTACTTCGTCAATGCTTTCTTTTCCTTTGATTTTTCTTCTAGTTTCCATTACTTGCTTTGTTTCAATGGTTATTATTTAGTCTTGGCGTCTTTTAGGACAGCATTTTACTTGAGCCTCTTGAATAGCTCTACGTATTTTCTTTAGGGCATTTACATATTCTACATTCATTTGTTGTAGGATTTTATTGATATTGCCTTGGTATTCATTTAAATTCGTTGGGTCGTTCCATATTGGGTTGGCTTTCTTTCTAATCATTTTGGATATTTCTGTTATTAAGTCTAATTTTAGTTTTGCTCTTACCATTCTATGATCGCTGCCTGTGGTAAAGCTATTAAGGACTGTGACATCGTTGAATATATATTTTTTGTCAGTAATTATGTAGTCTATCCGTTTTGGTCTTACTATCTGGGCTTTTCCTCGTCCATCTTCTGTGATCTTTTTTAGAGAAGAAACTATTCATCTGGTATAGATTTTGTTGTAATAGAAATTCTAGTAGTGTTTGCCCACGTTCGTTTCTGCCTTTGGATCCAAATTTACCTAGTGCTGTTTCCTGTTCATCCTGCTTTAGACCGATCTTTGCGTTAAAGTCGCTCATATAATCGTGTAGTGTGTTGGTGTTTCTTTCAGTGCCGTAGAGATGTCATCGTAGAAGTCTTCAATCTCCTCATCCGGATGGTCCGTTGTTGGTGCATATACCTGAATAATCTTTATTTTACACATTCGGTTTAGCTTTACGATTAAATAGGCTACTATTGTGGATATACTTCTTGTAATTACTATGTCATCTGCAAGTCTTTTGTGTATAAAGAAACCAACTTCCCCGATTGATTTGGTTTCACTACCTAGACTGTAAAATGTATGCCCTGATTTTAGTGTTGTCAGGTTTTCTCCATGTCGCCTTGCTTCCAGTGATATCCCATTCTACTTTTGACATCTCAATTTCCATTTCAGTGAATTTTTCTTCAGATAATAATGTTCTGGCATTGTAGGTACAGATACTTTTCGTCTTTCGCGTCGTCAGTTTTTTGTCCCCCTAGAATCCTTGGGACAGACTGATAAATCAGTGTGAGAGTTTCGATTTCTCGCTATACTCACCTGGGGTACATCCGCTTTGTTTTAAAATCTGACATTTTGTTGGGAGGTATTTGCCTTGAAACACCACGCTGGCAAGGCGGGTTGGTGAGTTTTTAATTCAGCCGCTCATTGTGAGTACGACGTTGTTTGAAGCCGCTTGCGCCGAGTCAGACGCTTCTAGGTTTGTGATCTTATACTACCCCTAAAATCAAGGGTTGTCAGCTCCGCCATCTTCGCCGTACCAGAAGTATTGTTCGTCGCCTTGGATGCCGTTCTGGGTGACCCTGGACAAGGGACCCTTAGCAGGTGCTAGCTTCTCGGGTTAAGAAGCTCCTGGAATCTGCGGGGGACAGGGATTGATTCACTTTCCCTGATAGAACTATCCAATAGAAACCAAGGGACTCCAAAGGAGTTTCTACCCGCTACCCTAACCACGTTCAGTGGCCTAACGCCACTGAACGCTTCTATAATATTTCTATCAAAAGTTATAATAATTTTTAAAAAAAATTTCTTAATAAAGAAGATCTTTATTTAACCCTGTCGTTTTCGACATTTTTCAATAATCGTCCTGTATCTCGCTACTGTAAGGAGCTATTAATGATTTGATTGGGCAATCATTACTTTAACGAAAAAAGAAGTCATGACATCTTAACTATTTTTTTCTATCTCGTCTAGTTTTCGGTATACCCTGCAAAACATAACCAATTTAGGACACCATGTACATTTTATGAATGTTTTTCAATTTATATTGCTTCTTGATTGTCTGTTACTTCATGGCATTTATTAAGTATCACCAATTTAAAATTTGATGCAAATGATTGTGATTGTATTATCTGTAATTTTACTATTGACAAATTTATCACTTATAAACACATTACCAGCATTTCAACCCTTCCTATTTCTTGTTTTAAATTTAGAAACTCGGGCATTTGAGTAATCTTGTCGTTTCGCCAGTCTACCGATTTATTTTAATGTTCTTAACCAGGAGACGATTCTAAAATTAGCTTCAAAGGTAATTGTACTCAAAGCTCATAGATTATGGCGCGAAGAACAAACATGGCATCTAAATATTTTGCTATTTATTCGATAGTAAACAATTAAACTATAATGTGTTTATTGATTATATAATACAGTGCAACTTGGTTATAGCGTCATTGAATGATCCAGTAAAAACATGACGCTATATCAGAGTGACGTTAAAAAAGAGGTAGAAAAAAATGAAATTTTAATGAGGCAAACATTTATTACAGCTGCATTTAGGATAAAAAAATTAAGAAATAAAACCTATCATGTATATGAAACTTACATTTTTTATTAAAAAGTTCTCTAATGCTGAAAAAAGTCAGTTATTTTCTTCTGCACAACCCTTTCCGGAATTTAAAGTGAAATACATTTTTTATTTGAAGTATTTTCATGAAAATTTTACATACTCTTTTGGTAGTCCTCAAGTTGATGTATGTTCTGCTTGTGAAGAACTTGGCCAGAAAGTTAAAAGTACCACTTTCAACGACATTGCAAAACGAGTTGCTGTTTCAGAACTATTGGTTCACAAAAATAGGGCTAAGAAATTTTATAAAAAACTAGAGCAGATTAAAAAACTTTCTTCAGAGACGGACGAGATACTAGGAATCTCCATTGATTATATGCAAAACACACAACTTAAAAACAGGAGAAGCTAAATTGTAGTCCTATCACGGGGGGCGAGGCCACAAAGGAACCAATGAATGTGCACCTTCCTGAAAAATTATTTTGAAAATGAGGTTTCTGAAAATGTAAAAGAAGTCCATATATTTTCAGATGGTTGTGCAGGCCAAAATGAGAACCACACGGTAATAAGATTCCTTCTAGCTCTTGCTTCGTCAGGAAATTCAATCACATTTTTCATTATTTTCCAATCAGAGGCCACTCATTCCCCCGTGCGGTAGAGACTTCGGGTAGCCAAAAGACTTATTCGCAAGCAGGACCGAATTTTTCTTCCTGAAGAATATTACGAATTGATAAAAAAATCGTCAAGAAAATCTCTTTTCTATAGAACTGGTAAAAAATGAAACAATTTTGGAATTCAAAAAATGGTGGCCCATGCATTGTAAGAAAACTGTACTCTCCATTGACTCCTATGGGAAAAAACCAAACATGAGAAAACAACTTTTCAAATTTCTCAATATAATGAGTTCGAATATGACAACAAAAAACCGGGGATTTTTAAAGTACGTCCATTTATCGATGGGCTTATGTTTCATGAATTTTCCTTGGCAAAAACCAGCTGGAGTTTGTCCTAGTTTGCCAACAAAGTCTGCTTACACAGAAAAAATCCCTATTAATTCGAAAAAATGGACAACATCAAGAAACTTGTACAATATGTGCCAGAAGACAAAATGTTTTTTTATAATGAGCTGATTTTATTTCCTACCACTAATAGTGATGAACCACCAGAGGAAGATTACTAAAAGATCATTTCTTAACCTTCAAGATGTTTTTTTGCCATCTAACACATTTTTTCCTTAATAATATTGGTTCAGTATTATTCATAAAATCATCAGTATTTGTTTGTAAAAGGCCACAACTACAAAAACTAAATTATTTTTAGTGTACCTATGTCTTTTTTATGTTGGATTTGTTAATGAAACTTCGTCATGCATCACATTTTGAGACTTAACTCCGAAAAGTGAAAGATATCTTAATTAATACTAAAATGAAACGTTTTTTTTCGTTTCCTGTAAAATTAACATTTCTGAAGTTCTGGCCTTTTCGAAATAACCGATTCAAATATATTTTGCAAAATAAATTTAGAAATCATTTCCGTTAACCAACTTGTTATTTCTCTCCTTTAATACATATACAAATAGCATTTGATTGGCCGATAACACGGCTGATTGGTGTTGAGTAATTACCTGCGCTTGTCTTTGAAATGATAGCGTTTTCACTGGCAATGTATCGTTGTACCACGCCGTACCTCTTTACTTTACAAACTTGAGAGAAATTTCTTTACTTTCAGGAAATGGCTCCACCACCATACGCAGATCTCGGCAAAAGAGCAAGAGACGTATTTGGCAACGGTTATCACTTCGGCCTAATTAAACTAAATTGCAAAACCAAAACAGCCAGCGGGGTACAATTTAGTACAGGTGGTAGTTCAGACCATGAATCTGGAAAAGTGTCTGGATCTCTTGAGAGCAAATACACTGTAAAAGATTATGGATTGACTTTTACAGAAAAATGGAATACAAACAATACTTTGGGAACTGAGATCGCTATTTCAGACCAAGGAATTAAAGGACTCAAGGTCTCTGGTAATGTTAACTTCTCCCCACAAGAAGGGTAAGTTTTGATTTATACTTTTAATTAAGTTTTGTGAATACCAACTTCAATTTTTTTTATTTATTCAAGTTCAATTTAGAGGTTGTACAAGTGAATCATAAATTTCAACATATAAATAAACAGATCATATTATATTATGTAATGAAAAATAAACTCAAATAATGATAAATCGGTTGCACATGTACGTCCATTTCAACAATGTTAGAGAAATAAATGTTAGACTTACAATCAATTTATTAAACCTTAGACGAACACTACAATTTCCTGTTCATCTTCATTCATATTTACTGCATGTGCGAAAAATATGTGTCACGTGAATTTTTCTTATACCAAGCATATTATGAGTAAATTTTGATTTAAATGAATGTAACTCAACATTTCGGTACAGTTATATGTAAAAAAATAAAAAACGCAAAAGGCACGTTGTTTGCAGAGGTTAATTATAGTTCATTCTCGGTGGCCATAAACGCGCTAGACACGTTCTTGGCAATATTGAAAGAAAATTGGAAAATATAAATTTACATAAACGCAAAAACAAATAAAAGTTCAAAACAAAATAATTTGACCTTAAAATAAACAGTAAAATACTTTATTTGTTTGCATGAAATATTCTAAAGCATGATGTGAGACAAAGTACAGGGCCATCTGGGCACTGAGAGCAATAATAAACTGAATTCTTTCGTTTTTTTGCCGCCACTCCACCAAACAGTGCATCTTCTTCTTTTAGCCTTTCCGTTCTCTCCTTTTGGGCAGTAATCTGGAAGGTGCTGACGTTTTACCTTAGTTATTGGATCTAACGGGGGTTGTCCAAGCAGTGTTCCGATCACGTCTAGTCTGAATTCATAGAAACAATCTCCGGTAACCATCTTGTATAAATGATATGAATTTAGTAAACATATCTGGAATAAATGGATGGCTTTTTTTATACCAGATAAGCGTCTTATGGGTAATATGATAACATTTGATCGCAATGATCAACCTCTGCCATAAATTTGTTGTATTCATTGATGAGCTCTGGCTTCATCACCTCTTGGCCACGTTGTGTAGTAACTTTTTCCACATTTCCATTAAATTTACTGGAAATTGCTAAAATTTCTTTACGATCCTTCCATTTGATTACATCGACATGACGAAACTATCGACAATGAGTTTTTGATATATTTTACTTTTTTTATAGTATTTTTCTTCATGTTATTGTTTAGTTCGACAATGTAACTCTCTTATTTATACATCGATGATTGAACCATGCTTTAGTTGAAACAATACTGATAGTCTTTTATACAACCGTAAGCAATTGTTGTGTGCGCGTATATTCCAGTGCTATGATTCTTAAATCCGGTCCTGATGAGCTGCTCTGGGTAAACCAACAACGTGGTCGGCCGTTTTTCCGTCAGAAATACATTGCCTATCTTAGCTGCACTCAATTCTAACTATAGCTTGTACTATAGTCACATAACTTGAGCCAAGACTGAATTATTTTTTATTCCTAATCATTATTTTGTACATTCATTCTGCCTAGATTATAAATAACCAGTTTTGCCTAATGGATTGAGATTGGTTTCACATTACTTAACTACTAATATAAAACTAAGCGACTATGATGTTTGATTTTTAAGTCGATTTGTAAAATTCATAAATAGAACTAGGTATTTCAATTGACGAAAATATTAACTAGTATATCCTGAGACAGTGTTACCATTGCTCCTGTTCTAACAGGAAATCTACTGTTTTTAGAAGCAATCTACTGTTCTTCTGTTTATATTCGGAAATCTACTGTTTAAATTTGTTATCATCAAAACAATTTTGATAGTATTTTTAATACTTTTGTATTAAAATTTATTTGATACTTTCCTGTATTGTTTAAAAATTACATGCAAAGAATGAGAAATCCCGGAAATTCGTAATGATAATTTGATACCTAAACCATAACAAATTAACATCATTCAGTATCTGCACGTATTGGAAAACCCAATAAATCATCACCCACTCTTAAACTTTTATGTAAATATGGTAAATATTATGACCTAAATAACTTCAACCTAATTATTTAAGGTCATTAACTTTTGAGAAGCGATTCAGCGATTGACATGCCAGTAATAACTGTAAACGTTCTCACTGTATACTAGGGATGGGGGAAAAACCTACCGGTTTTAACCGAAAACCGGTTTTTTTACTTCGCAATAACCAGTTTTATCGGTTATTTTTTTGTCCCTGTTATAACCGGTTTTTTATTTTTAAAGTAATAAGAACCAGTTATTAGGTTTTTACGGTGATTAGAATTAGGTTAGGTATTATTTTGGATCCCAATCATAATTATTATTCTCAAGTAAATATTCGAAAAAAAAACATAATTCAAATGTTATTTTATTTTATAAATACAGAAGCAAACTGAAAGTGCAAACTCACATCAGCCAGAAACAATTAAGTTTTATTATATTATATCGTTAATAAACTGTTAAACCAAATTATTCCCAAAAATGTTTTTAATAAGTGTGACATTAAGCTGATTAATCTATAGTCATTACAGTGTTCTTGGTTTTTGGTAGCAGAACAAAGGATCTTATCTTCCTTTGGTCCATGATTTCCAGTATTTCTCGAGTTATCCAAGGTTTTCGGCTTTCTGTTTTCTTTTGTAGAGCTTTCTTTTTATGTTTTTATAACAGAATCTTTGATTTTGTTCCACATAATGTTCACATTCTTAGTGTTTTTTTATTTCTGATGTTAATTTCTTCATTTCTCGATTGATACAAGTTGAAGCCTCAGCACGGATTTCATTTATCTTGAGTGACTGAGTATTCACCTTAGAACTTTTGGATTTTATTATTTTTTTTACCCTCAGTTTCATTTTTGAGACAAGTACTGTATAAATATGAATAAAACAATTATGAAATTACTGTCGGAACAAGACACATAAAATTTACAAGATTAAGAAAAAATAGAATTAGATTAAAAACTCCAGAAATGATCCATAATGTTAAGAAAGATTGTCGTCATCGTAAGTTCAATTACTACCAAGAGACAGATGGACTGAACTTTGAATATATATTTTAAACGAGAAGTTTATCACTGAATGGAGAATAAAATCATAGTAATTAACAGAAAGCAATCAAGTCGCTATGTTTTGAATGTTGTTTTATAAATCACATATATATACATATTATAGTAAATGAGTTTTACTGATAACTTTTGTGTTGTTGTGTATAATTATAGTGCACTATGTAGATTAGATAATATGTTAACATCAATTACAGCTTATCAACAATTTAATCTTTTTTTTTTCAAATATCATTTAATGGAATGTACTATAAAATTTAAAGAACTCTAAATATACTACAAATAAGGCATTTCATGATTTATTTCATGATTTGATGACACAGAGAAAGATATTTGAAAAATTTTATGCCACAAAAAATAACATTGAATCAATGGTTTCTTAGATTTATATCATTAATACGCATTTATAATATAACTGTTATAAAACTTATTTTTTATAAATGTTCCATTAATTATATAATTCAATAAGGGACCTTCGGCCCAATTCACAGCTGACCTAAACCTACAGACTAAGACTTAGGGAAGTATGCAAAAAAAGTGAAAAATATGCACGAATTTTGAGGATGATAACATAAAAGTAGTAGTAAGACTTTTTAATTCAATATATAACACCGGTGTGATTCCCACAGATTGGCTCAAATCCATTTTTGTCGCAATACCTAAAAAACACAATTCAAGAAAATGCTCAGAATATCGATTAATTAGCCTAATGAGCCACACTCTTAAAATTTTCCTAAGAATAATACACAACAGAATTAGACGCAAATGCGAAGAAGATCTTGAAGATATCCAATTTGGTTTTAGAAATGCTATGGGAACCAGGGAGGCACTTTTTGCGCTTAACATTCTATTACAAAAATGCCGTGACCAAAGAAAAGATGTCTTTGCATGTTTCGTGGACTTCAAAAAGACATTCGATTAGTACAGCATGTAAAATTAATGCAAATACTGAAAGATATCGGAATAGATGACAAGGATATTCGTGTCATTAAAAATTTGAACTGGAATCAAACTGCTATCGTAAAAATTGGAGATAACTACACTGACGAAATCTTCATACAACGAGGAGTCAGAAAAGGTTGCATTTTGTCGCCAACATTGTTCAATGTTTACTCGGACCACTTATTTAAAAAGGCACTTGAGAGACAAACATTTGGAATAAAAATCAATAGGAAACTACTTAATGTGATTAGATATGCAGACGATACAGTAATTCTGTTAGACAATATTGAAGGTCTTCAAATTCTGCTTGATCGTATTCACGAGGTAGGAGAGGAAATGGGCATTAAAATAAACTCAACAAAACCAAATTTTTAGTGTTTAGTCGTGACCCACATCCCGATGCAAAGCTTAAATTAAACGGTGTCCAAGTTGAGAAAGTTGACAAAATGACATATTTGGGAACTGTGATAACGGACCAACTAGATCCAGACATAGAAATAAAACGTAGAATGCAATGACTAAAACTACTTTTATGAAAATCAAGTCATTTCTTTGCAATAATCATCTCAGTCCAGAACTAAGACAAATAATGGTTAAGTGCTATGTTCTGTCCGTACTTTTGTATGGTGCAGAAGTGTGGCCGCTAAAAGTATCGATTATGAACAAAATTGAAGCATTGGAAATGTGGGTTCATAGACGATTGCTGAAGATACCTTGGACAGCAAGGAAAACTAATGAAGAAGTACTAAGGAGCGTCAATAAAAATAGAGAATTGCTAAAGACTGTTAAACATAGAAAAATGTTTTATCTGGGGCATATAGTAAGGGGAAGTCGATATAAAATATTACAACTGATCCTTAAAGGCAAAATAGAGGGCCGTAGAGGTAAAGGAAGAAAACAAGTTTCTTGGTTAAAAAACATTTGTGAATGGACTCAGATATCAAATGCAGGACAATTATTCCATATTTCAGAAGATCGAGAAGCCGCAATGTGATCGAACGGAT